TGAAAATATTAATCCGCCATTTTGAACTAGAACAATTCAAGCAGGAAGGGGAAATTCATGTCATTCTGGAACAAAGCTTAAAATGATCTAAATCTAAGAAGCAAAAAATAAATAAACATTATTTTTAAGGGGAATAATGTTTTAGTATTAGAATATCTAATCAATAAAATATGAAATATTAGAAAAAAAATATTATTGCTTAAAATATAGAAAACTAAAAAAAATTGACATATGAAAATAATAATCCGCCATTTTTAACTAGAATGATTCAAGCAAGAAAGGGAAATTCCCGTCATTCATTAAGGTGGGTAGGTGGAGGAGAAAAATTCATTTCCTCCTTATTTGTGAAAGAAAATAAGTGTAAAGAGGAGATCATTTAAGTTGAGGGTGGGGAAGTAACAAATTATTGTTTTCTCTCCAATCATTGGCTATCAATCAAGCATAAAGGCGGGACACGCTGATCGGGTTCTCTTTATTTTTTCTTTTATGACTGAAAGAAAGAATGTTACCCCCTTCCCCCCCGCCTCCTAAATATTGCATGGTATGGAGAAGAACGAATGTTTTGTTTCTCAAGGACGTGTAATCTTTTAGACCTATTCAAATTTTCCATTCTGACTCCCCCCCCACCTTAACGCTTGCCCCGTTTACCCTTTTCCACAGTATTTCTTCTTTCAATAAAAAGGTTCCAGGAAATGCCTCTTTTACTAGCCACCTGCATGGGAAAGGAGGGAGAGTGTGGACTCAGTTGCGGTCTTTTGAAAACTAATCTCCCTCTTTTTCCTACATTCCAAGGGAGGAGCGTCACTAACGGCCACTCAATGGTCTTGGTAGATCTTCACTTCCCCTTTCTGGTGATTTATGGGTTCGATGCATAAATCAGAGGTTCAGTGCAAGCTAGAAAAAGAGAAAATGTGTCAAAAGATNTTTTTTTTTTTTTTTTAGGAAAGGGGAAGATGGAGAGATGTTTGTTTATTTTGATTGTTAAAAAGTGTCCGGGAAATCGACCCTTCCGGGAAAGGGACGTTACACTGTAGTTGCGAAATCAGTAGCAATCATTTATAACATCCATTTATAAAGGAAATTATTAGAGTAGAAAATAATATATTGTCCGCTATATGCCATAAATTTAAGAAAACAGTAGGTTTTTGACGGTTTTTACCGGTAAAAACACGGTTTTTACCACTGTCATGTCAAAAACCAGTTTTTGACAGCAAAAACCCAACCCTGGTAAATATGACACAAAAACATAAAACAAACATATATTTATAAATCAGACACATTTCAAATTTAACCTAACTTTATTGAGCTAACAGTTTTAATTAAACTACTTACTAATAAAGAATATCACATCTTTATAGTGACTAATTCAAGAACCGCGATATTGGATTTTAAAAACACGAAAATACAAATTGCAATATTGAATTTTCAAATAATGTGGATACGAATAGCAAGTTTTAGTTTTTAAATCGCATATAAATATGAAAATCTATGTTTATTACAACCGCCTGATAACGAATTACAATATTGGATTTCAAAAATGCGTGAATACAAATAGAGACATTGGATTTTAAACTAGCGGAAATACGAACCGTGATATTGAAGTTTACATACGCTTAAATACCAATAGTGATATTAGATTTTAAAATTGCATCAATGGGAATTGCGAGCACGATTTTTAAATCACCTGAAAACGAATCGCAACACGTAACTTTTAAATCAGTTAAATATGAAAATCGACGATTGATAATAAAATCGCCTGAATAAGAATCGCGATTCTGGCAGAATCCGGTGCAGCTCACAATATTTGAAATTCCTGAAATCAGCATATTAAAAGAACTCAAATATCGGCGGTCAAACAAAACTGCTTAAAAATCTTTTCTGCTCTATGGCGGAAGTCGTGGTTGTCAAGGCAACGAACCTGCAGAGGCTCCACCCTTTTTCTCTTGAACATCATCTTCTCGGGAGGCTACTACAGGGGGGGGGGGGAAAGAGGACCAAAGAGAGAAATTGTGATGTGAACAACTGATAAGGGTGAAGAGCATCATGTCATTCTCTGAAAGGTAGGAAAGTCATTATCTCCCCCTTATGTGCGTTTGTGAGTTCAACACAGAAATGCGGGCAATAGGGCGGTTTTAGAGAGTTTCCGATACTTTTCAAGATCATTTTGAATTTTTCAAGGATTTAGCATTATTTAAGTACTTCTTGGGGCACTTGAAAATCAAAATGAAATTCAAGTACTTTTCAAGGCTGCGGGAACCTTGAAATATACATATATTCTATTAAATAAAACTTAGCATTCTATTTAGAATATTAAGGACAGAAAGATTATTTTTAAACAGTGCTTGAACCCCATAATTTCATTTCCAATGGTTTATTAGCCATTTTAAAATAGAGATTTAATATTGTACATACCGATTTGACCAAGAAATTCAACCTTAATCCCTTGATGCTCCAATTTAACACCTGGCTTCTTTAAAGTGACATTAATCTGAAAATTTAATAATAAAAAATAGAAGCAAAACAATATTATTTAAAAAAATTTTAAGAATAAAAAGAGAAAAAATTAGACATTTTAAAATGCTTATATTTTAATAACAGTGGTACTTCATTATGGAATCTGAAGAAATCACATGCTTTGTCGGCAATCATCAAAATCTGCATTAAACAATATAGATAGATTTTAATTGAGTTAACGCGCCATAAATTTCAGTTGATTTTTTTAAAAATGGCACTTTAAAATATAAGAACAAAATATCTTAGCAATGAGGCATAAATAGTGTTTAATTCAATAAAAGAAAGTTATAACTTGAAATATGAAAAAAATCACTTCTAAACAAAAAAAATACAATACTTATCCATGGTAAATTTTGGGAAAAAGAGATCGGACACTTAAATTTTAAAATTAACATTTGGTTACTCAGTATTTTCCTCATAGAAAAAAAAAGGGTGAGAATTTCTCACCCTTTCTCAAAAACAGGGTGAGATTTCTAAAAACTAAAAAAACATAAAAACTCTTGACAAAAAAAATCATTTCTTTAATTATAATACATTTTTAACGTCTTCTATTTTTTAAAGCATAGTTTAAGATTTGTATTAGAATATAAATTTTAATTACATGTAAGAAGGTTTAGGCTCAAAATATATTTAATTGCAGAGAATATGTGAACAGTCAGAAACAAACTTAACAAAAAAATTGTTTGACTGCTACAATTTTGCGATGCAAAAATTAAGCTAATAGTCCAGGTTACTAATCTCACTGGTCTGCGATAAAACACTGAAATATTATAACAGTCCTTCACATTAAAACACTGAATAAGATTAAAATGCCAAAAAATTTTCAAGTACTAAAAGAAGATCTTATTAAATTAATGGTATTATTTGACTATATTCTACTCACTTTCCCTGAAACTGATTCTCCATCATAATAAACATAATGTCGTTCTTTTTTACCATCTTCTGTTTTAATTTCAGCCATTTTTCTAGACTCGGATCCATCTAGAACTATGTCAATATCCGCAGTTTGCCCAAAACCAAGGAAACTCTATAAAAATATAAAAGGGGAAATTTTAAAATCTAACTTCTACCAACAAAAATAATTATCAGAAATTTAACTTTACTTAATTTTTCCACGGAATACATTGAAGGAAAAGGACTGTATAAAACAACTAACACCTTTTCTCCCAAATAGCAAAAGTTTTAGCACAAATACAAGAACATTTTTAAGGTTAAATACTTCACTTGTCTCAAAGTAATGCAACTGCCCACCATAATTTAATTTTACTCCTTTTTCTCTCTCAAAAGTTGAATTATAGAAAGGTTACCAAGTTATAGCTTAAAGTTATTACATTTTTATCAATTTTAACAGCATAACTAAAGCATATTTAAATAATTTATATTATCTTGTAATTAATAATTAATGTATTTGTAACACAAAAGATAAAATTGATTAAGTACTTTTCAGCCATCTTAATATCAATTAAATTAAAAATAAGATGCGCTTAGTAGCATAAAATCAAATAGCCTCTTTCTGGAAAAGTTAATCCACTAAATAAAGCTTTAAATCAGTTCAACAGAAAATAATCTGTAGCCTCACATTACTTACAATCCAATTAGAGATGAGAAATTGAATGTGTTAAAGAGTTTTATGTATTAAAATCTTGCAAATCTCTAAAAACTGTAAATTTACTACAACTTTTTAGATGATGTTTCTGTTGTATCACAATTATTACAACATCAACACTGACAAAAATAACTGAACATGTCGTAGCTGCATCAATTTACCATTGAAAAGGTAGACCTGCCAACTTTCAGAAATTCAAAAATCGTGAAACTTCTTCAGACCTTGGCATAGTACAAAAAAGAAGCAATAATTATAAAAAAAAATAAATGTACACATAATTCAAATAAAATTTATGGGAGTAACCTTCTTTCATTAAAATTACAATATCATAAATTAATCTATTTTTAAAACAAATTGAGTGAACGATTTAGCATTTTTAAAAATTTAGGTAAAAGATTTTTTTGATTTACCTTCCCGATCAACAAATTCTTTCAAGTGTATTTTGACTAAGAAGAGAAGTAAGTCTGGATTTTTTACAGACTAAATATTCCTTCTTAAGTCTTATCACTTTGAGGAATGGTTAAATATTTCTAGCTTTAACTTGGCTGACATACTGAATAACTTTTCCAGCTTGACTTTGATCTGAATTGCCTGCAATATAAAGCAAAAAACAGCTTCCGGAATGAGGGGCGGATTAAGCGTACGTGGGGCCCTAGACCATTAAAATTTTTGGGGCCCTTAGACTAAAATTTTTCTCGTATATTTTTTATTTCTTCAAATATAAAAGTATTTATACATCTTTTCATTTAAGAAAGAAAAATTTAAAATTAAAATAAATAATAATAAATTAAATTTTACTTTATTTTATTAAATTAGAACTAAAAAATAATCATAACATTTCGAAAAATCATTGTTTTTCTTAATTTTTCTCAATTTATATTCAAAAGATCCATTTTTAAGGGGGCCTTTAATCATTGGGGGCTCAGGCCGGCCTAATGGGTAATCCGGCCCTGCCTGGAATATCAAGAAACAAGGTCTGCCATCCTTTTCATAAAGTTTTGCAAAAAAAAAAAAAATTGGTGTGCAAAGGAGAAACAATTGAAACATTACTCAAATCAGTTATTTTTAGCATGAATTAAGTTTTGTACCTTGTAAATGATTATTTAAAAGCAGTATTATACATATTTTTTATTGATTTTACAGACTTATCAAAGCATTAAAAAAAGGTTTTAAAAAAGAATTTATGATAAACTAAATACACTTGGAACACCAAAATAGACGACCAAGAGAAAATGAGTCACTACATTTTTTGAGGACCGTATATGTGTAAGGTATGCACAGGTTCTCCAGTTCATGCACTTATTATGAAAAAAGTGAGAAAATATTTTACAGTCCAGCGGTCCTGAGATTGGATAAAGAAGCCTAAGAGTCTGCAGGTCAGAAAAGGTGAGATTAAATATTTACCTCCTGAATGCTTATCTCAGCTTTTTTTAATTTTAGTGCTATTTCATTTACTGCTTTCAAATTGTAACAGAGGTAGTAACATTTTGTTAACATAGGTAGTAAGAAACAATAATTAAAAGGTTTTCTGGTTAAGCAAATTTAAGGATTAATTTACCAAATTAATAGTACAGTAGAGAACCGACTATCCGGAACGATCGGGACCATCGCTATTCCGGATAACTGATTATTCCCGTTTTCTGATTCACTACAAAACGGCTTTTTTTTTAACTGCTTACAAAACCAAACTTAAAAAATATTTTTTAGAAATAGTTTTAAAAAGAAGAAAAAAACGATCACGCATAATACATAAGTTTAAAAAGATAAAAAGGAAAGAAAAAAAAATAATGAAATTAAAAATATATACAGAAATATATACTTTCTTCTTTTTTAGAAATGGGGGGGGGGGGAAATTTCATTTTTTTGGTCATGCTATTTCCTTCTCCTTCTCACCCAATTTCCTAATTTTTTATCTATTATCGTTTTTTTACTCAAGTCATAAGAGCTTTCTAATTTTCTATAACCATCTATAAAATAGTTACAATTTCCTATGGGTCATGGTTGGCAAAATGTGTAACAAATTCAGTAAGAACGAAAGTTATTAATTTCGATTTTTAAATTTGATATTTAAATTATGAATGTTGTTTCTATAATTATTTTACATATAATTTCATGCAGGTTTTAGCTGACAGAAATTTAATCTAGTGCGAAGGTAATTATTTTTTTAAAAAATAAAAAAGCCTTAAAAGTAGGGTAAGTTTTAGATTTTACTGAACCTATACATTTTCAAATAAATACTTTGTTTACTTATGCACAAAATACAAAAAAAAGGAAGAAATAAACTTTAAGTTAACAAAATTGAAAGAAAACAGGGCTTGTTATCAAATTATCAAGATGTCAAATAAATTGGGCATAATTTCTCTTTTAAGAATAATAATGCCCCAGTTCACAGCAAAGATAGGATGCTGGTTCATTGAGAACCGCAGCACTAATTCTTTGCTGTAAAATTACCATTAAAAAGTTAAATAAAAACTAAATAGTATGGTCAGTAAAGGATAATAAAGTTAATAATTAAACATATACTCCAATTCTCTTAGGATACACATCAGAAATACTAGCAATACCGTTACCATAAGTAACATTTTCATACAGTTTATATCACTAGATTTTTTTGCTGAAAGTTTCATATTTTTCGTACCGTGGTACAAAAAGCAAAATAAAGCAATCAGTAAGTAATTCAAGCAACAATTTGAACAAATAATTGAGCTAATTTAAACGGAAAAACATAGTTTCACCTAAAGATTATTCCATACACAAAAATACTAAGTTAACAGATTGTTCGCTCAATATAGAGGAAAGCTGCCTTCACATTGAACTTATGATTCAGAAAGTAAATTCAGGGAAGGGTATAATAAACATTATGTCACATATTAATAGACATTTCCTTACCATTTTTATTTACTTTAGTAATACTTTTTTTGAAAGTAGGCGTATCAACGTTACTAATACAAATTTATTTTCCACTTAAAATGAAGACATCGCATATTATATTCATTGATCATATAGCACATCAACAACGTACAATTTAGGAATAAATAATAACAATTATTTCATATCTCGGCACATTTCAGTGTATCGATGGTTTTAGTTGTGGTTTAGTTTAGGATGGATGATTAGTGACGGGTAAACAAGAGTCATGGTTATGGATGGTTGACGGTATAGAGATAAGCACAGATGGCGATAGCAGCAAAAGAAAAATAAGATGATTGACTTAGGGTGCATTCCCACTGCAAAAAGTTGCCACACCTCCGATCTCTGGCAAGGAAAGAAAACCCTGAATGGTGAGTTTTTTGCTGAAAAATATACTTCTCCTCATATTTTCTCGACTGCATCAATTTAATCGGACAATTCTCACAACAAGCGTGAACCACATGCTGGAAGAATGGGAATTGTTCTCCCCATTTCCCCATAATTCAAATTTGACATAATGTAGGTACTTTATTTGCGTCGGACTAGAGCTGTGCAATGGGCTATTGGGACTGTCTGGGAAACATCTCTGAAGATTATCCAAACTCCGAAGACATTCCATCGCAATTTTGATCCTCTGCAGAAGGGATAGCTTCCCTGCTTTGGAAGCCCGATGACCTGAGCGCGAAGTTGAATATCAATTTTCGATATAAAGTAATACTACTTTGCAGTAAATACTTCCTTTTTTGGTCATAGGGTGCTTTTTCTATTTAAAGCCACTAACATTTTGGAATTCATCGTCTCATGGAATGTGAAAGCTCTATGTCTCAACTTTAATTGGCTATGGGAAATTACTTTTTAAACAGGTATCGAGTGAGGCAATAGAATCATGAGTGAATACAACAGCTTTTACAAGATTCCACTTATTACAGGAAATAGTTTTCACTGTGTGTGACATTTTTAATCCAATACTTAATTATACTGTCTTTATTATGTTCATCAAAAATTGGTTTCAATCAATACTCGACCATTTTCTAGCATCTCTTTTAGTGTGTTGGCATTTTAAAATAAGGAACTGTTTTAAAAATTGTTTTCATTGTCATCCAGCTAAACGTTTTGCACTCTAGCTTGTCGGAGAGAAATGGGAATTTCAATTGCAAGATTGAACCCACGAAGGCGAATAAAAAACATGCAGTGAAACAATTTAATTAAACATTAAAAATAATTAGTTAATCATAAAAGTTAGTTAAGTTAATTACATGCCATATATTAATTTATTCAATCTAAATATGGTAATTGAATATATATATATAGTCGGCAAAAATAATCAAGCGCAATCCAAACTTTATTCGCGGTACACTTTTGACCCAGGACCCCCACTGACATCATGCACTCTTTTTTATTCTAGTTTACTGACTCCAATGAAACGACTTTTAATTACTATTGATTCCTTTTCAGTCATATGGCAACAATTTCATATAGCAACAATTCTGCCGCACAATCGCTGGATAAATAAGGGTCCCGTCAAGAACTAACATGAAATGCGACAGTGAAAGAAAGCGGTTACTAAAATATGAATTAATTTCTAAAAAAACCTTTAACTGGCATTATTAACCCTCCAAGTGTAAACCTTAATTAAGATTATTTTTCTCTAGATCTTCAATAATATGTGTAAAATTTTACAGAAATTTTCTGCTGCTCATTATTTTCCCATTCAGTAACATGGAGAAACTGATATTTTGATGCAGGAAAGCCTGTATCTGTAAGTTCGGAAAAATTCCTTTGTAACGCTTAAAAGATTAATGTGGCATTTGATGACAAAAATTTGTGAACTTCATGTTTTAGTAAATTTTTGTTTTCTTAGAAAATTTATTGAACACAAAGAAGTAAGAGAGAGAAAGGGGGAGGGGAAGAAATTCGCTTGCAATGCTCAATCAGTTCTTGTTTTGTTCACCTTCTTTACGCGAAATAATATTTATTTTATTGTAGTCATCAGTTTTTGCATAGATGAGTCCGGGTTTATTACTTGCATAGAGACTTTTTTGTAATAAAAATTTTCTTGAAAGGAACTCGAAAAAAAGTTAGAGATTTACTTTAATTACTGTTCATAATATGGATTGGAAATATGTTTGTGGAGCTGAAAAACAAAAAGCAAAGTAGTGGAGAAGGAAAAAACTGCCGAAAATAGAGCATTATTTTAAAAAAATGCAACGAAGTTAATGTATTTTAGTAGTAAATTATTGAAATGACTCTCAGTATTGGATAAACCGTGTCTTTATATTCAGGTAAGAAATTCACAATGAATTATATCCCGTTATAGACAAATCACTATTTTAATAGGTTAATATTGTTGTTGCAACAATATATATTAATAAAAGTAACGATATAATGTCAAAAAAATAAAATTAAGCAAATTATGTTTGAGTTACAATATTGGTCTGAGGTATCGAAAATCCTAGTGGTAGCTGTGAAATTTTAAAGTAAAAGAAGATTTACATTTCTCGGTGAAAAGGAAATATTTGGTGATCAGTAGAATTTTTAAATAAATTACTCTAGCATTATGATCTATAGTGTAGAAGGTAACGAAATCTCACTCTTTTGATGACGTGATTGAAAATTTTACTCATGTTAAGAGACGAACTTTTTATTTATTGAATAATTTTTCTTCGTGAAATTTACTATTGCATTTACTTATACAACACGCATGCTTATTTTAAATTTTAGCTCTATTTTTTTCTAGAAATTCTAATTTTTTATTCCTTTATGTATGTTGAATTTTCAAGTTTATATCGTATTTTAAATTTATTTATAATGCATTGATCAAATTAATTAATGGTTGGTTACCAACTAAACATTATCATTATAAGATCGAGATAACCTGATTGGTAACGCGTTGGGCCCATGTCCAAGAGGTCGGGAGTTCTATCTCCATTTGTCGAAGATTCCCCGTGACTGGTGACTGGTGCGCGTCAAATCTGTTGGATCACAAAGTCCTCCAAATTTCCATAACAAATCAGTACCTCTGGGGGTATACTGAATAGGAAATTGATCGTTCTCTGGTTCAGGACAAAATTGCGATGTGTGGATGAATGAATGAATGGATGTATGAATGTTGCTACCCTTTAAAAGGGGCTGTGATGTGATAGTGCGGCTGTAGTCGCATTCTTAGCCATAGATGGCGCCACTGAAAAACAAGAAAATAACCATCTGTCCTAAATTAGCTTGGTTTCACCAAGCAAGCTTGCAGGTACTGACAAGTGGCATTAGAAACAGCAACATTATCATTATTAACTTAAGGCTTTCTTAATTTTGAAAAGATACAAAAATTTTTATGAAAAATGTGGCCCTACTTTACACATAAATTTCTGGCCCGGTGACACCCAATTTAGCCCTATACATGCAGAGACTATGCGAGTAGTTCCTCTGTTTGCATCAGCAAGCGTGTGTTGCCTCAGTGCATCCTAATTCAAATGCATTAGTTTTCGCTAAATTTTTGAAGTATTTCAGTAAAATATTATTTAGTCACGTTTGTGATTAGTTTTATTTATTTGAGTTTATGCAAGTTACCTGAAAACTAAGCTTGAATTGCATGCGTTTCCAAATTCAATAAACTAATAAGTTAAGAAGAAAAGAATTTGAAATAAGTGTTGAAATCAGAAGAATCCAAATGTAATTAGCCACAACTACGAATACTTTCTTTAAATGAAGTGACTACAAACTACTTTGGAATTTAGTAATTACTTCATTACTTTGAGGAGATGATCTTTTCTAGAGAACTTAATTTACACCTATGTTCAAAATGGTTTTGAATAAGAAATTGGCTTACGTTAAACATAAAGGAATAATTAAGAATTATTTATTTATGTTTACACGAGTTAGTTTGTTATTCCAAAGCATTTTTTTCCCGAATTTGATCATTTAACCAACAACTTTTTATGCCTTTTTCTGATAGCGAATATTTAAGTTAAGAAAGGCGAAACTATCAAATACTTGCAATTTTTTTATAGTTTAATGCCCTTTTATTTCCTCTAAGAAATTAAGTACATCAAAATTATGTTCCCTTCCTTAGAATTCACATCCAATGTTTCACGAATGTGTATTCGAATGTGAAAGTGAAGAAGTGAAGTGATTACTTATTTATATCATTATTAATTATCTATTTCACGCAATCGTTCCATTATCCATATTATGATTAATTATCCATTTTTCGTAATGAATAGTTTATATATTGGTTATACGTGATTTTAAATGCGTAATTTCTATTAACGCTCAGCTGCAACCATAGGGTCATTTTCATTGCATCCACTGATGAACCCGCGAAGATTTGTACCCATCAAATTCGAAACATTAGTTGCGTTAGAGCAGTGTTACTATTCTTAACTAATGTTAAAAGTAGTTGCCAGGAATCTCTACAAACTACTGTTTTTTTTTGTATCGCACTACCTTTCTTTTATTTAAAAAAGTAGCACACTACACTACAAACTACGAAAAAAGTACACTGCAGTAGTTTCACTACTCGTGGGGCGCTGCATATATATATATATATATATATATATATATATATATATATATAAAATATANTTCGATACATTTTTAAATACGGAATGTTCTAGTAACGGTATTTTTTAGTCCTAGTTTATAAACAAGTTTGATCGATAACAAGGGATAGAATTTCATTTTAAATTAAGGCGATAGAAGTGTGCGAAATAATTAGTTCTTGGAAGAAAGCTCTTTAAGGTAAATTAGTTGTACAAAACTTTGACAAAAAAGTAAGAAGGAAAGTTGACAAGATTCAATGTGAAAGGTGGCAGATCAAAAAAAAAAATATTGGCTGAAAATGCGTGTAAGATAATAGTAAAGAATGTTCCGTCGTTAATTACTGTCAAAGGATGAGTTTGTTAAGAAATATTAGTTTGTTCTTTTTTTTTTTATCAAAGTCTCAGATTTTTCAAGTTTGCATCGTTCAAACATGCTTTGATAAAAATATTCTAGCTTAGATATGCATGATTATGCTTCTTTAGTGTAATATGTGAGTGTTTGAAATAAAATTACTGAAAAATATCAAAATCGATTTTTGACTTAGTAAATACATCATGTATTAATATATATATATATGTAATACAAAAATAATAAATGCTTTTGTATTAATAAAAGAATTAAAAACCAGCATAACTTTTAATAAACCTTTTGATAACTTATTATGGTTTTGACTGCATTTCTTAGTATGAATACACCAATGATAACAGAGAT